TAAGCACTTGAAAAGATGTTCAACATCATTATCCATTAGTAAAAATGCAAATTAAAACCACTTAACATTCCTTAGGATGGCTAGAATGAAAAAGATATATATGTCTTGTTGAGTATGTGGAAAAATCCTAAAATAGTCACTTTGGAAAATAGCTTGCCAGTTAAACTTAAGGCTGGGCACAGTGGGCTCACGCCTGTAATCATAACACTCTAGGAGGCCCACGTGGGTAGATTTCCTGAGCAAGAGCAACACCCTATCTCTAAAAATACCCAGAAGTTGTGGCAAGTGCCTGTAGTTCCAGCAATTGGAGAGGCTGAGGCAAGAAGATTACTTGAGCCCAAAGAGTTTGGGGTTGCTGTGAGCTATGATGCCATAGCACTCTACCACCAAGGGCCAAAATGAGACTGTCTCAAAAAAAAAAAAAAAAAAAGTTAAAACTTAAAAAGAGTAACCATATGATCCAGCAATTCCCTTCCCAGATATATACCAAAGAAATGAAAATGTCCCCACAAAAAACTTGTACACAGGGCGGTGCCTGTGGCTCAGTGGGTAGGGCACCGGCCCCATATACTAAGGGTGGTGGGTTCAAACCCAGCCCCAGCAAACTGCAACAAAAAAATAGCTGGGCGTTGTAGTGGGTGCCTGTAGTCCCAGCTACTTGGGAGGCTGAGGCAAGAGAATCACCTAATCCCAAGAGTTGGAGGTTGCTGTGAGCTGTGATACTACAGCACTCTACTGAGGGCTGTCTCTAGTGAGATTGTCTCTTAAAAAAAACTTTAAAAAACTTGTACACAAATGTTTACAGCATTATTATTCACTGTGGGAAGTAACCAGGCACTTGATGATAAATGTTCATCAATTCATGAATGTAAACATGTGGTTGGAACATTATTCAATAGTAAAAGGAAATGAAGTACTGATACATGCTATAGCATAGATGAACGTATAGAATGATCCTATTTATAGTAAATGTCCAGAATAGGCAAATCTACACAGACAGAAAGCAGATTAGTTGTTTCTTAGGGTTGAAACAGATTAGGGATTTGGCAAGGTGACAGCTAATGGGTGCAGTTTCAGTGAGGGGTAATAAAATGGTTTTCAAATTGATTGTAGTAGTGGATGCACAATTCTGTCAATATACTAAAAGCCACTGAATTGCATATTTTAAGTGGGTGAACTCTATGATGTTAGTTATTATAATTAAATTGTATACTTCTGGGCGGTGCCTTTGGCTCAGTGAGTGGGGCATCGGCCCCATATACCCAGAGTGGCGGG